ACACGTCCCAACCTATAAAACTAAAAGTAAAAATCCGAGATACAAAATAGAACAAGAGTCACAAGCGCCCTAGACTCCTAAAGTTGATGAGCAATAACCCCCTGCAAGGTGAAGTAGCAATTTTACAACAACAACATCTTGTAACCCAAGACCTACAGCACGAAGCTTCAATATCCATTTTCTTTTATACGTCTAGTCACATTTGTGATTTTTATTCTTTTATCTCCAGGTTTCCTTTTCCTTTGAAGTCAAAACAATCAAAATGCTTTAGTAGATGGTTAAATAATGCACGCTCTGATAGAAACCAATTTCTTTTCTCTCATGGAACAAAGGGCCTTCATGCAGGATTTAACCATATTAAATACTAAACATTTTCACTGTCATCATTTCTTCATCAATGCTCTATTCAAGTTTCAATATCATTCACTTGGAAAAGATGCAACAAATGAAAGGAAAATAAAATTGAATAAGATATAATCCTATCTAATCGTTCAGGAAAATTAAACCTGCTGTACTCAGAATCCAATCACTTTTCATAAGTTGACCTACAAATCTATATTGTTATGTATGTAAATCCAAGGATTTTAGCCCATTATATCATTGCCCTCAAACGAAGTGGCAGGAAAAATAATCAGTGAGGCCTTTCCCATATTTATCCAGATAGATATCAGTTTGCTACAGTTATTGTAACAGCTTGGTACCACAAAAAGCACAGTTTTATCAATATATAAGTGATGAGACTGAGTGAAAAGTGTAAATCTACCTGTGAGGACTGAGAAAGAAGTTTCCCCCATGCATCCCCAGCATGAGATTTCAGTTGCCCCTTCTTTCCTCGATTCGCTGCTGACCCATTCAATTTTACTTTCTCTGTGTCAGTTACAGAAACACCTACGTCTACGACCAAAAAAGTTAAAAAATGATAAATAAAATTAAAAATTGACTAAAAACATATAAACTACTGTATCAAGTCAAAGCAAGTGCAAAGAGACAATCACAAATATAGTTATCGAAAAATTCAGAGGCACACCTTCCACCGCCGCCTCTGGCGATTTTTCCACATCCGACTTCTTCTCATCACCATCATCGGCCAGATCAACGGATCGAACCTCATCCCTCACTGATTCCTTCGCCACAGCCTCACTTACCAGTTCATCCACCGCCGGTGAATCATTCGTTGATGAAGACGATGCCTCCGCCGCCTAAGTCCAACCAACAGCTCAAAACTCAAAATCATTCAAAACTTGCACGACAACAAAAAAACTAAAAAATTCCTAAATTTTTAAAATTAAAAAATCGAAAAAACCCTTAACCTTAGATCTTTTCCCGCTAGGTAAAGCAGAGGATGGAGACGACAGAGCACGATTAGAAGGCAGTGGGGTGCCGGCGGTTGGGGAAGAGAGCCGATTTCTTAAAGGCCGGTGAAGATGCGACGACAGAGGCTGCTGTGGGAAGGAAAACCCTCGATTCTTTCTCTCTAAACAACGAAATAAATGTTCTGGAACCACAAAAGAAAGAGAATAATTTTTTTAGACCCAATTGACTTTCAAACGGCTGAATGAAATGGTTGAGGGGAGTCGGTTCAAAAACGGCTTGTGAACAGTAACCGGAAATCTCCCTCTTTTATATGTAGTTAGAAATGACGAAATATGAAGTGTTAGGATTTTTAGACTTGGTATTGTTTTAATTAATTAGAATTAGATTTTTTTTTTTTTATTGTTTATTTCTTAGTAGAATAGGATTTGTGTTGCTTTATGTATTATAGAAATTGTTTATCGTTTACGAATATGATTAGTTAATCATATCTTATAAATAAGAACTTCTCTATTGTATTTCCTTTATCGCAGTTTGTAATATAGTTATGTGCTATCTCGTGGTGAGAATTGGGGATCCTTTGTAGTGTTACCCTGCCCGATTTGGGGTGTGCTTGAGGGTTTGGAGTGTACGAGGAATTCTATGATTGTCAGTTTTCATAGCCTTTGTTTGGGTTTCCTTTCGTTTTGCTAAAACTATAAGTTAATTTTCATAGCCTTTGTTAGGGTTTCCTTTCGTTTTGTTAAAAC